CCCCAAAACCCCAAAACCCCAAAACCCCAAAACCCCGTCTTAGATTATTCATCATAATTGAGTGAAATGATATTGAAATACAATTTCCATCCAAGTTATTTGCTCCTTTTCCAGTATTAAACGTGGAATTGTAAAGATCTATTAATAATAATAAATATAATGAAGATCTAATCATTATTAGCCCTGACTCTGTTAGGATTCGCTTCAGTTAACTCCTTCACCATGGAAGGATTACCCAAGCGTGAAGTCAAGAAGAACAAGCTTGGTGCCATGGAAGTCATCGACTGGGCTGTTCACGGTATGACCAAGACTGTCTATCTCCCACAGAAATCTATTCTATAAGATTATGAGAGACAAACCTAGAATCTTGAGCAGGCTCTCATCCAAACCAAAGTCAACAAGGAGAGAATGTCAGCTGACAAACTCTACAAGTGCGACAGCAGACTTGAAGATGGTGGCAAAGACCCAGATGAAGCTGGCTACTTCATCCCAGTTGAAGCTGGCTCAGTTTCCAATGCTCAACCAACAACAGTCTTCACTTCAGGATTATGTTTCCAAAACGTAACCTTCACTTATCAACAAAGTGGTAATGAGAACGACATCGGTGATGTTACTATCACTGTTGACGCTTAAAACCCAAGAACCATGTTCTGCAAGGATTGGTTCCTCTTCGGAAATGCTGAATTCTATCACATCGAAACTTTCTTCTTCCACGGTAAGCATCAAGTTACCTTCAAAAACATGAACACTGAGTCAAAGGAGGTAGTCCAAAAGAGCGGAATCCAAATGTACATGTTCTGTGACGGCTATGTCGACACTTTCATTTCAGTCTTCAACACTGTTCTTGCCTTCGTTGGAGGTCTTGGCACCAACCCATACATTCCAATTTTTGGCTCTCATGTTCCAGAATACATGGAAAAGGCCAATCTCAAATTCCTAAATGATACCATTGGATACGACATGCAACTTAGATCTAATCAAACTTATGACTATGATGAATCTCTTATTCAATCAGGAGACTTCTTGGCCATTATGAGATTAGACGGTGTTGACCCAATCATCATGTACGGTTCAGGTACTCATGCTGGTCACTCAACTATGGCTCTAAGATTCGATGATGGCGAGCTCTACGTTATTGAGAGTCAAGATGGATGGTACTGGCCAAGACACGGTATTCAAAAGAACAAGTTCTCACAGTGGATTGAATGGGCCAAGGACGCCGATTTCCACGTTGCTCACTTACCACTCAGCCCAGAAGCTAGAGCTAAGTTCAACGAAACTGCTGCTAGAGAGTTCTTCAACCAAACTGAGGGTCTCCCCTACGGTTATCACAACTTCCTCTTCGGTTGGGTTGATACTCCAGTTGACAACTGGCCACCTCTACTCCCAAGTCACTTCATCAACATTGTATTCTCAATCCTTGAAGGTTTCACCCCATCAACTGTTGATATTTTCCTTAACCAAGCTCTTAACCACAGACTCAATACCACAGGATTAAACCTTAAGCAAGTTGCCGCTGAGGCTGCTAACAGAAACTTAACTGTTGAAGACTTGATGTCTCAAGTTGAGGTTGAAGGATGGACCTACACTGGTCTCTAAAACGACGGTAGATCATATGTTTGCTCTGCCTATGTTGCAGCTGTTTACAAGGCTGCTGGCTTATTCGGTGACTTCCACATCAATGGCCCAGAGTTCACTCCAAGAGATGTCTACACACTTAACTTCTTCGACTTAAACTACAAAAAGCCAGAGTCTTGCCAACAAGTCGATCCAAGCCAACCATTCTGTCAAATTCTTGGAAAGTATAGAATGACCCTCCCAGGTTATTCAACCATTACTCCATATGAACACATGGACGAGAAATGCCCATCAATCGCCCCTGATTTTGTCAGACCAGATGGTTGCTGATCAAATTCGCCTTCAATTATCTAATCAAAGCCACACCACAGGCTCATTTCGAATTATAATTGAATCTAAATCTTAAATCATAAATTTCCTATTATTATTATCAATTGACCTTGAGGGGTTTTGGGGTTTTGGGG